CCCAAACTGTTATCCATTGCCTCATGCAACCGCCATGTTAAAATATTTGCTTGAAAATGTTTTCCAGTAATGCCACCTGAGAAGCGGCTTGATAGTTCTTTGGTAATGAGGCTTTGAAGGCCCTCCCAGTCCATGCTGCTCCTTTTGGTACCAGGGATGCGGGCTGTTTTTCAAGGCTACCCCTGGCATGGAGAGCAAAGGTCAAGGACAAGTTCAAGCAACACAGATCTCATTGTTCTTACAGAAATTAATTTGTTTTCCTTGAATAAATTGCTCCCCAATGTGCAGCAACCTGTTGGATAAATTTCCAGAGTTCAGAAGAAGTTGATTCTGACGATTTTTGCCAGTTTTGTTGTTGTTGTTGTTGTTGTTATTGGTATTGTTGCTTCTATGGAGGGATGAATTTTCAGATGTCCTTCCTCCATCATTTTTACTGATTTTCCTGCAATGTTTTTTAAAATATCTAAAGTCTCAATGACCATAGGCTAATTAAATATTTGTAATGGGAGATGATTAAGGAAAAAATAAATAAAAAGAGAAATAAATAAAAAAATAAAAAGAGAAAATATAATTATCATAGAGGATTTCCCAGATGGGTAGATGAAGTTTGAAAAGGTATTTATATATTTAGTGCTCTCAAAATTAAGGTTCAAGTGACAGATGTTTAAAACACGCCCACTTCTTTTTTCATTCAGGTCAAACACAGGCTTTAGAGTCAGAACTGAGTTCAAATTCCATCTCTGCTTCTTACTGGCTTGATGAATTAGGACAAGTTATGAAGCTTCTCTGTGCCTCAGTTTCCTCATTTGTACAATGGGGTAATATATCACATAAGGTTACTGTGAGGATTAACTGTTAAATGCTGATCACAGAAGCCTGGCAACCTAAAAGATATTAGTTTTGATAGTTATCTTTCTAATATTCTGCAAAAATATGCTAATAATTCTTGAGTAGAGTTAACCTAAAGTCAGATATTCTTTTCTTTTTTCCTGTTTCTTTTGGGGTATTTTTCCCCCCTTATTTGTTTTAAAGAATTAAGAAAAAAAGAAAGAAAGAAAGTACTAAGAAGAAAATCCATCCCAGCATTTTGGAATAAAATTCTGCTCCCCAAAATTAATTTGTTTATTTTATTGATATATAAAGAAAATGTTATTTATTTATTCGGGAAACAATTAGTAAATACCTAGTAAATATTAGGCACTGTGTCAGGCAGAGGAATAATAATGACAATAAAGTGTGATCCCTGCTCTCATGTTGCTGACAATCTAAGAGACTGACAAGTAAACAGGTGATTATATACACAGTAACAAAGGCTATGATAGAAGAATGCACATGGTACTATGTGATGGGAGTATGGCTTTCACCAGTTGCTGTTGGATTTATCTCTTCTTCTTTTGCTCCAGAACCAAGGAATTAGCCCTATTTTTGTCTTTAACTGGGTAGTTTAAATCACTAAATTTTAAAAAAATTGTAGAGATGAAGGAAAAACCCCTTGAATTATGGAGGACACTAGAAATAGTACTTTTTTACAGAGCAAGGGCTTCCTACCAGCATAGTCACTTTGAGGGTTTTGAACCTGAAAAGTTCTTTGGCATATTTTTTCTTTGCTAGCCACTTTTTTTTCTATTTTTTTCTTTGATTGTTTGTTTCTCTTCTCCACTTTATCATCTAGAGACCTGGGTGGTTCCCAATGAAAGAGTGTTTTACAGATTCTAAGGGTGATTTAGAGGTAAAGACAGAAAATGATTTTTTTTAACCTTCAAGTTCCATACCAAAATAAATGAATATAAGCTTTCATGGAAGTAATTGAAAATACAGATAATTTTAATTCCATTCCATTTTTCAGAATTCTCAATCGTAATCCTTTGACAACAGTTGAAGATTCTTATCTTTTTAAATTGCCAGCATTAAAATATTTGTAAGTATTGCAACAGTTTCATGGCTCATGAAATAATTTGTGCTCTTTTTTGCTTTCGTCAAAGACTGAGTACTTTGGCTGAAATGTCATAATTTAAATTTTAACTGGGTTATTGAAAATAAGAGTTATTGGCAAAGAAAAGGATTAAGAAAGAACATATACGGGTAAGACAGCCAGCAGAGAATGAGGACAGTGTTGAAGAACACATATAGTTATGAAGATGTAGATGCGTGTAGGAATATTATTTATCCCAGAAAGCAAAAAGGAATAAGGGGTACATTATTTTTTTTTAAATGAGTAAGCAAAGAGGTAGATGCAATTGAAAATGAGAAGTTAGGATAATAAAAAATGATTTTGCTGTTCAGCACCAAGGTCATTCATTTGATGATGCAAATTTAAATTTCTTGAATAAGAGCTCTTTGGAATTATCATCTATGGCAAGTGAGAAGCCAGAATTGAAGTAATCACATGTTAAGTATCTTTTTAAGTTTAGATTTTTTGTCTTTGGGTTTTATATCAAGCATGTTTGGGCTTCTCCTTCAGAGACATGGGAACAACACAAGTGTCACTTACAACAATTGAAGGCATCCTCATGATGACCCTTGAATTGGAAAAACTGTAAGTTGATTTCTCTGACATTTATTTTCACTCAATTGTTTTTTTAGGTTTGCTTTATTATTTTCTTAAGTCAGGTTTATTTATGTATAATTTTCATTTCACAAAATTCACTATTTTTAAATATACAGTGTGATGTGTTTTGACAACCATACAGTTCTGTAGCCACCACCACATTTGAGGTAAAGAAAACTTCTGCACTCCCAAAAGACCCCTCATGTCCCTTTGTAGTCAATCCATCCTCCTCCCACTACCAGCCCCTGGCAACCACCAATCTGATTTTAGTCCGTATAATGTTGTCTTTTCCAGAATATCTTATAACTGAAAGCATGTGTTATATAGCCTTTTGTTTTTGGCTTCTTTCACTTACCAGTCT